GCACTGACTGGGAATTAAGTTCTGAGGTGGAGATGAGGACGGTGATGATGAATAGTTCCATGTGGTGGAGTTTGTCTTGTACCTGAGAGGAAAACATGCAGCTGTGTTTCCATAAAACAGTCCTGAGCACTGCTGCCTCTGACATTTCCTGGATTTTAAGAAAACATAAACAGCTTCCTCACTTTTTTAATATCTGGAGATTCTACATTTCCCCAGACGTGACTTCTGAAGTAGAACTACGGCTTCATTAACGCTCCTGTCCATGATTTCAAGTCCCAAGTAGAATTCCTACTGAGCAAAGATCACCCTCTGTAAATGTTTTAATTAGAACTCAGAGATGAGCATGGCTGTGACATGAACAAACCATAATCACTTACTGTGTATGCTACCGTTGTATATAGTGTATTATCTTACGTATCTTTTTATTTGTTTGTATTTTATTTGTATTTTTTGTATTTTCCTTCTGACCTAAGTTGAGGTAACGCAAAAATTTCCTCGTTGTGGGATCAATAGTCTTATCTTATCTTATCTTATCTTATCTTATCTTATTTAAACTCACCAGTATGACTCTCAGCTAACTTACTTACTGCTAACTATCTGATATCCAAACAACAAACCAAACTTTCAAACTTCCTACCAACTTACCAACCGACCATATCCTTCACTCTTTATCTCAATGCCAATCTACAAACAAGCTTCTGGAGCTGTGTATCAATGACGCTAATTCTGACTAACCCTGCAATCTATTTAAGCTCCCTGTGCAACATCAACAAACTCTTATTAATGACTTCTTTGGCCTTTAACTGAACTACATTCAGAGTTTGAATGCAATGAAACTGCTAGTGTAGCTAAATTAAAGCTAGCTGGCTATCCACCCCTGCATCCTGGTAGTGCTCCAGAAAACAGTAATAAACATTCATTGGTGAAGTAATTTGGTACTGAGATTGTATTTTACTAGCAATAATATTACAAGTTATTTTGTCACATTAGTTGATGATGCTAAGTTAGCAACCCAACTGTGGCATTTGGGTAGTACGGCTGACCTTATCTATTCAGGACACATCGATAGCTAGTAATCTATCAACATTAGCATGCAAGTTAGCATTAACTAATATTAGGCACAGTCGATTTTGATTTTCAAATCTAAACGAAGAATGACTAGCCTGTCACTAATTTTCACCTGATGTTGGCTACAACATTGAGACAGGTGGGCCTCATGAGATAAAGCAGTTTCTATCTTTTGTTAGCACACCTGCCAACATACCACTCAGCCAACTATTAATCAATCAATTTTCCTAACCACTTGACTTGCCAATCTAATAACCTATGGTGCTTTCACAAACCAGCTATTCTACCCAATGACCTCATCTACCTACCAGAATACCAATCTACGTACCTGTCAACTAACTTGACTATCTGTTCACACACCAACGACCCATTCTCCTAACTACCTACCTTTGTATCTATCAAAAAATTTGCCATTAACCTACGTATCTCGCCAATAAAACAAATCTCATTACTTCTTGAGCCTCACACCTTTCTGAAAGATGACCAGCAGTAGTCTATCTAACCACCAAACAACCAACAAACCTTTTTATTTTGCATGTCTGAACTATTTATTGTTGAGTAATAACTTGGTGTAGGGATTGTGAGGAGCTGTCGATTGTATCTGGTAATCAGGAGTATTGTTGGGATAAATAAACAGTTTATGTTGAAAAATATTTCCCAAACATTAATTTGGTTGTGGTTTTTCTAATGCCAAATGTCTGTGTCTCCACAGCTGCTCTCTGACCCAGCAGTACAGCAATGGTGTATGCCCAGACATCAAACACAGTCGGTGTCAATCCCTCCATCTACTTGCCATCGTTCATGTATCAGATGTCATTTAACTACTCCAAGAGAGAAAACTCAACTGTCCTGGCAACCTTACCCACAACTCCCCTCTGCAGCCTCGAGGGCACGTCCACCGGCCAGTTGAATACTACCTCTGTCCCTGATGAGCTGACTTCAGGTGAGGTTGCCGTCCTAGGCTTGGTATTTGGGGTTCTATGGCTGGTCTCCATCTTGGGAAATGCCCTCGTATGCCTGGTCATCCACCGAAGCCGACGGACTCAGTCCACAACCAACTATTTTGTGGTGTCTATGGCCTGCGCGGACCTGCTCATGAGCCTCGGTTGTGCCCCATTCGTCCTCTTGCAGGTTGCCTCTGGACGTTGGCCAATGAGCACAGCAGCTTGCAAGGCTGTGCGCTATCTACAGCACCTTTGTCCAGGTGTGCAGGTCTACGTCCTGCTTTCGATCTCAATAGACCGCTTCTACACAATCGTCTATCCCCTCAGCTTCAAAGTGTCCAGAGAAAAGGCAAAGAAGATGATTCTGGCTTCGTGGTTATTTGATGCAGCCTTCGTCTCCCCCTGCCTCTTCTTCTATGGATCTACATCTACAGACAGTCATTGTGACTTTTTCCTTCCTGAGAGCTGGGGCAGCATAGTCTACGCAGCAGTTCACCTTCTCATTGGTTTTCTGGTCCCTGCTGGATTGATCATATCATTCTACCAGAGGGTGGTCAGGTACATCTGGAGGATCAGTGCTGATGGCCACACTGTGCGGCGGACAATGAACATTGTCCCGCGGACTAAAGTCAAGACCATCAAAATGTTCCTTATGCTTAATTCTGTTTTCTTCCTCACCTGGACACCCTTCTATCTTGCCCAACTGTGGCATCCGAGGGACTCTGATGGGCCCAGTAGGCAGGGACTGCTTTTCTTCACAGCCATCTCCTGGATCTCCTTCAGCTCCACAGCATCCAAACCCACCCTGTATTCTGTCTACAATGCAAACTTCAGACGTGGCATGCGGGAGACATTCTGCATGTCATCCATGAAATGCTACCGCAGTAATGCCTACACCATCACCGCAAGCTCCCGCATGGCCAAAAAGAATTATGTTGGGGTGGTGGACATCCCAGTGCAAGCAAAGATGGTGACTAAAGACTCGGTCTACGATACATTTGACCGAGAAGCTAAAGAAAAGAAGGTAGCTTGGCCCACTAATGCGAACCCTCCAAATACCTTTGTGTGAATGAGCTTGGACAGCTTTAAAACTGAACTCACAAACATAAACTTGTCTAACATAGCAGTGCCAGTGGTGGCAGGTGAATTAGCTGGAGGCTAACATGCTAGCACTGTATTTAAGTAAAACGTTTACCGAATGTGTTCAGATTGTATAAAGGGCTTTTTGTGATGTGAGAAACCCTATAGCAGCCATATTGGTGATTTTTATACTTCAGATTTCAATCAGAATTTGTTTTCGTGCTGTGTTTTGATGGATCATTCTCCATGGATAAATTCCATTTTGTGTTTTGATGTCAACTTGTTAGCTAGCTAACTTTCTGTGTGGTCATCGATCATAAAAGTCTTGTAACTGCATCTGGTTTGCTACAGTAATGTACGTGGTAGATGCTAATGTTAGTAAAGGCTAAAATGTTAACACTGACATTATCTGCTTTGTCACAATGACTGAGTAACAGTGAGCTGGTTATATACCAAAGCCCAGGATCCAAGCTTGTTCAAATAAACTGGGCTGAATCATTGGAATACAATCAGGATCAATTATGACTTTAACAACCATGTCAGCAAGACCCATTCAGGTTCAAACTTAGCTGAGTGGTCATAGCTAAACATGACAACATGCAGACACTGTTTGATTCGGTTCACTTTCAGAATGGTGCTTAGTTCTTAAAAAGCATCAAGGCAGAACTCGTTTGGTGTGGATCGGTAGCTTAAATCTTAAAGTGCGATTGCAGAGGGACTTAAGTCCTGTAATTTCTGATTGAGATGGGTTCCTCAACATCATCCTCAGCACTGCTGTGTGAAAACGCTCGACAAGGATAGAACCTGAATATTTGTCCTCCTTCCAGTGTGCTGAAATATCCAGACTTGAGATCAAATGGATGTTTGTAGCTGTGATCAGTTCTCATGAAGTTTGATCAGTGTGATTAAAGATGATTTGTTATATGAAGGAAATTTATGAGTTTTTGTGGGAATATCCAGGAAAATGTTCCAGAAGACAAAAGACAGAGAAACAGAAGCAAGCTTTTAGAGAGTGAAATTTAATGAAGTCAGTAAAGTCATTGCTGCACAATCACCTCTTTCTGTTTTTAAGGCATTAGTAAATCTGAGACTTGTGCACGCTAAAGTGTGGATATCTGAAGTCTGCATATACATTACAGATCAGGGGTGAGCTGCAACATTGCTGCAAAGTTACGAGCATTAGTTGGTCCTAACATTAGGTCAGTGCACCACATAATCCACTGCGTAATCGTGTATTTGACTAAAGCTCAAAAACACTGAGAAACTCTAGGATTTGGTTGGATCTCTTTCAGCAGCAGTGACCTGCAGTGATCTACAGGTGTCGCTCACCTGTGTTACAGCAGCAGCTTGATAGAGGTGCTCTTGTTTGCTTATGGTCAGATAATCAAGTCCATTGATTAACTGATATGGATGCAGTAACAACGCACTGAGGTTTTCACACAGTGCCTCTGCAGACTGCTCAGTGTGTAATAAATGATGACACAATGGGAAACATCACATGCTTCTCTTAGTCTCAGGTTATGTTTACCTGATTCTGTGACTTGCTGAGCCTCACCTGAGTTTTTATTGTGTGGACCTTGTTTTTCATAGAAGGTAAATGTGTGTACCAACTTGCACTTTAAATGTTCCACAGTCCCTGCAGAATGAACACGGTGGCTCCGTCTGTGCAGTTGCTGCACTAACATCAGTGCAATCAGATCCCATAGTCTTGAGACTGTGTTTCATCCAAAGTCCCTCTCTTCCTTCCTGCAGACAGTCACAGCACTTCCTGCGAGTCTGCATTAATCTGCACATTGTTTACGGGACACTCATTACCTGCTGTAAGTACAAATGTTTGGGATCCATGCATGAATCTTAACTATCCCGTCCTCAGATTCATGCATGAACAGAAGATACTCTGAGCTTCACTGAGGATCAAACAGTTTATTTATTTATTTGCTCTTAGACATTTTAAACACACATTTTCTACAATCTTAAAAGAAAGTGCTTCAGCTATGTTTACAAAGGTGCACAAAAAAAAAAGCTTACAAGCTGTTCAGAAACAAGATTTCAGATTTTAGTGCGTGAAAAGAAGCCGCGGGCGCCGACCTGCTCGCTGCTGGTTTAGTCAGTCCTTCAGCTCACAGATGTTATCAGGATCAAACCAGAGGAAAGCCCGGCTTGACCCGATGACCAGACAACAATAACACAACAGCTGTCCAACAGCTGCACACACACACGTCACTATAAGAGTTTAGAAACAGGAGTAAGTCATGTGACCTGCAAACCACCACAGAAAGACATTGATCCTCAGTTCAGAGCATGTATTTGTGTTCTCAAGTTTAACATCTTTATTCACTGGAATGGTGATTAAGCTTCAGCTCCACAAACAACTTTCTGCTGCTTCTGTGTGAAGATGTCGGATCTGACCTGCAGCCAGGAGCTTTTGTACCCCCCCTGCTGGCTGTGAGGGTTACTACATGCACTGTACGAGGAGGTGAACCTCCGTGCTGAGAACAGAGGGAGGTTTATTCTCTGGAGGTTTAAAGGTCTCATGAGTCCTGTGTGAGTGATGAAATGCAGGAGAGGAGCAGGAGAAGGAGGTGGAAAAGCGTCTAACTCTGCCCATTGCTGCTACTGATGTTGTTCTTGCTGTTCTTGGACGTCTTGTTGCCACCGCTTGGAGGCATTTTCTGCTCGTCTCCGGTGAGCAGAGCTTTAATCTCTGATGGAATCTTGCCCTGATCCATGGCCGAACACCACTGCTTGTACTGCAGGAGGACGACAGGAGACAAGTGAACAGCAAGTTAACAGTCTATATACGATGAATATATATGACGAGCATTTGACCTGACCTTCATCGTGTTCTCATAACCACTGGAAACTAAAAGCACAGCTGAAGTTAAACTCCTGACTCATCGCCCAGAGAGCTGCAGTTGTACCTGTCCAGGTGACTGCGGTCGTGTTTTTACTCTCAACAGAAACTGGGTGAAGTAATGTTAATTGTGACATGGGGTGGCTGTAGCTCAGGTGGCAGAGCAGGTCAGTCACTAATCAGAAGGTCGGTGGTTCGATCCCAGGCTGCATTCTGGCTGCATGCCAAATATCCTTGGGCAAGATACTAACCCCATGTTTGCCTACTGGTGGTGGTCAGAGGGCCCGGTGGCGCCTGTATCCGGCAGCCTCGCCTCTGTCAGTGCGCCCCAGGGCAGCTGTGGCTACAATGTAGCTTGCTATCGCCAGTGTGTGAATGTAGTGTAAAGCGCTTTGGGGTCCTATGGACTAGAAAAGCACTATACAAATGCAGGCCATTTACATTTGTGTGCGCCCCATTTTCAAACTTTATTTAAATACCAGGAAACGGAGCGTAGAGAGACTTGTGTGTTTAAACTGGGAGTGTCTGACCTCTGTGGTCGGTGTTATGAAGCTTCTCTTTGGCACAGAGCTCAATCATGTGTTTGAAATCTGAGTTCATGTCTAACTGGTGTTGTCTCACCATCTCAAGCTCCTCCCGCAAGGCGCAGATGGCTCTCTCCTTACTGGAAACCAACTCCTCCAGGTACTGGTACCTTAGCTTCTTCCGGGCTCGGCACTCGCGGGCGCTCTGCCGGCTTCGCTCCAGTTTGGCCTTCAGGTCGATTTTGGCAGGTTTACGGCCGCGTTTTCCCGGCTTCTTCACTTTGCCCGCCATCTGATGACAAGCAGACACGAGCGATAAATTAGACACAGGACAGAGACACCACCAGCAGACACCACCAGGTCTGTTAATGTGCTTTGAGCAGAGAGGTGATACCTGTTATTTCTGACTGGATTGGTTGAGCCAGCTCACACACAGAACGCCTGGATGTGCTAAAGTTCATTTACAGTGAAAGCTCTCAAATTAGCTTCCAGACTAGACCTGAATGAGCAGAGTTGGCAAAAGTACACACATTCTCTACAATACTACTGTTAAAAAAATACTCCAGTAAAAGTTGAATTTTTATTCAAGTAAAAGTAAAAAAAAAGTACCAGCTCTGAAATGTACTCAGAGAAAGAAAAAGTAGCTCCTCAAAGAACATTTCCTCCACCTATTTTTATGCAGCATTGACATAACAATATTAGTCGATATGAATACAAACTTTATTTCAGTCTAAATTTTATTTCCAATAATTGTACTCAGCTTGAATCGGTTAAGTAGAACATGAACAGGAAGGAAAATAAAAACTCTTTTCTGGTGCCTGCATTGTAGAGGGTGACTTTACTTTTAAACAACAAAATGAATGCAGTCAGGGGCTAGAGTGGATTCAGCAGGTGGGTGAACACTAAAATCAGTTTTAATTGCTCAGTGTTGGGGAAAAAATATCATAACTCACTAATTTCTACTGAGAGCTCCAGTAAATTTTCTTAGTGTACAGGTTGTGATCAGCTGACCTGCTGCTCTTTGTGGATTTACACAACTGAATTCAACCAGATGTCAGCAGATGTTTCATGAGTTGTCCTGGCTGATTTCCGTCCTGACAGTACACTGTTTATGCTGTCTTTATATTAGACACTATAAAGTTGGTATGAAGGTGGAATTCAGTGAATGAGTCTCAGCATCATAAGTTAAAATTCAAATGACTCTCTGCTACACTTCATGTAAAGTAAATCTGACCATGGAACCACAGCCACTGTGCACCAGTCACATACTGTTCTTTACTTTAAATCCATCACAGTACAGCAAACTAAGCTGTTTATCCTGCACTAACCTGCAGATGATTTTCATGCAGGCCTTAAATAACACAGTTAAGTCTACCTCAGTTTGTTTAGCATGTTTCACAATATGAAAAAACACAGTTGCACATGTACAGACCCAATATCTGATTGGATAACATACTTGATGAGGACTTACGAGTAAGCTTTAAATGAGCCGTCCTTTTAAATCTAAGCTCTCTTCTTCGTTTCCTGTCCTTTCTTATCTTTCTCCATCTCTGAGTGTAGTTACCCCTCTTTCTTTTCTCTCCCTGTGAAATACAGAAGCTGGACCTTTAGCTAGCAACTGTGTGACAAACTGCACACAAACAGTTCGTGTGTTTGCTGATGTTTGTTAAAGTGCTGCATTTCAAATTACCTAACACAAAATGTTACTCCCTTTATCCTCGCTCCTCTTCAGTAGCTAGCTAGATGCTGAAGTACTGTGAACACAACCTATGGACACCTGCAGTCGTTCTAGTGTTGTGTTAAAAAAAAAAAATTTAAAAACGTAATAAATGAATAAATAAATCAAAACTCCGGCCCACTGTAACCCCTGACTACATCTCTTTTTATGCCACATCGCCTGGTGATTAATAAACGAATGGGATTTCCTTTTATGTGTTTCTGTTTAGGCTCAGATTGGTTTTAAGTTTGGAGGCTCGCAGTGACTGAAATAATGACTCCCCTCAAATCAGTTAAAGGAAAAGTAACGAGCCTGTCTGAAACAGTGACGAGTAGAAAGTTAAGATATTTGTTTAAACATGCAGGGAGTAAAAGTTAAAAACCAGTCAGAAAAAAAACCTACTTAAGTAAACTACAGATACAGTAACAAAGTATTTCGTTACTGTATCATCCAACAAGTACGACTGACTTCTACTCACCAATCAGAACACTGGAAAACAGCGTCAGCAGTCCTGAAGTCCCTCAGACCTCGGTGTGAGGACAGCAGGAAGGTTTTTTTTTAATAATATCTGACAGCTGATGAATATCAGCATTAAATAAATAAACTTCTTGTGAGCTGCAGACAGTTTACAGCAGGTTTGTTGTTCTATAAATAATAATTTCTTATCCTTCCTGAAATAAACATGTTTACGGCACGGGGAGCTAACGTAACCTCGGTTAGCACACAGGATACACAGCTGTAATCTAGCCCATTAAAGTGATTCCTTCTTTAACCTCCTAAGACCCGAACTCTTCCACTGCATGCATTTTTAATTTCTCTTTGATATTTGGGTATATTGGGGCCCGATGAATGTAAAAACAATTTTTGTTTTTAAGAAAAATGAGAGCCATATATGAGCATAGTCGTTTAAAATTTTGATAGACCAGTAGCAGTATAATGTCCTTGTAAGTGGATATCAGGCCCTTGTAGAGCAAAATTCAGTATTTTGGTCTAAATAACCCAAAATGTGATGTTCACATATGTGGACGGCAGGTCATAGGAGGTTAACGACACTATCGACACTGACAAAGGTGAAGTGACCAGACGTTGACTAGTTAAAGCTACTAATTAGTACCCCGCAGTTTCCTTTAGCCGTTAGCAGTCCTTAGCTAGCTCACCTTGTTGTCTTCCATGTTGCTAACGCGCAGGCTGCCGTTAGGTCCGCTCAGAGATCACACTGTGTTCCCGGAAGTCTGGACGGAACGAACCGGCTCGGTATCATCAGCGAGGGCTCCAGAAGCAGCTCATCAATCAGTCTGATCACCGATCAGTCTGACAGCTCCCTGCTTTGTTTACATCTGCTGACGTCTACGCGTTTACGTCACTTTTTTTTTTACAACCAAAACTTTATTAAATAAAATAATGGAACAAAGACAGCTACCACTAAACCGGAAATAGTGAGATGGTAAAATAAATAAATAAATAACGTCAAACCCGAGTAAATAGTCAGATAAAAACTAATTCTATTCTTAACAAGTATATTAAAATATATCTGACACACTCAAACGTTTAATGTTCAGAAGCCAAATATTAACAATTCGAAAATCTGTAAGTTAGCAGTAACAAATTATATTTATATGTAATAAATAAGCTCCAGCTTTAGTTTAATATATTGAATGTATTTATACCATTTTATATGTTTAATGTGCATAAACAGTATATCTACTTAAACCCTAGTGTAATCAAATAAGTTACCACGCCTTGTGATATCGCCTTTAAAAAGCTTGTTCATTTTACTCTGGTGAAGAAATGAATTGTTGTGATATCGTCTTCATGATTTGTAGTAGAGCACAGAGCAGGTCTTGAAAAGTGCGTTCTCTAACTACACGATAAAACTCTGGGTTTCCCAAAATGAGGGAACAATAAAACTTACAATAAAACCTGTTCCCTTTTCCTTTCCCAACCCTCCTCTGACCAGAAATTCTCACTTTTCACAATGACGGTCTGAATTTGGACGCTCAGTTAAAGTTTCAGTCTGAAATCACGCCATGTGAATGGGTGAAGTTGTTTTTTAGAATCTCATAATTTGGATCTTAAAAGTAAAACGCTTTAATGTCTCTCTGATGAGTTTTGCCTCTAAAATTTAAAAAGTCTCCTCAGTAAATTAAATATCAAACTTTAGAATCTGAGGCTGAAAGTTCACAGTTAAGAGGTGAAAGTTCACACTATTTACCCAAATGCTTTAAGAAGTTGATACTACAGATATATTTTTCAACCTTTGATGTTTTAAATAAAGTTTTTCACCTGCATTCTGCCGTCATCTGGTGTAAAGAAAACAGAATAATATGAAGAAGGTTTGTAAGGGTCGCTGTTGTCACAGAGAACAGACGGTCAGTGTGTGCAGGACAGAAACTGATGAAGAGTCTGAGCTCATCTTTACTGCTCAGTCTTCAGTATACACCAATTCACTGTTGGATATAAATGCACATATATTTTATTATTTTACTTAAAGTCTTTAAAGAGCCATAACTTATAACCATAACCACCTCTCCTCTTCCACAATCATCTCATCATCACATTCAGAGGGTTAGAATTCATTCATTCATTCATTCATTCATTCATTCAATTATTTATATTAAGAAAACACATCCTGCTGTCCCTGAGAGTGGATTCTATGATGACATCTCCTCACAGGCCAAAGGGTCAAATGTATGTTAATCTACCCATGACCTGCTGACTAATCCTGTTACATCAGCTGCTGGAAATTTAGAGGAAATGAAGATTATGTTGTGGAAGAAGGTTATACAAATATCAGAGCTTCTGTTCTGAGTTTACTTCCTCAGGAAGCTTTAGTGGGATTAGCACAAAGAGACATGGAGAGCAATCATGGTGGATCCTGCTGAGACTGTTCAGGTGAAGTATGAAGTCATCAGGCTACTGTTACACACACTTTGTTCATTCCTCTGATGTCACTGACAGTAGATGTTATTTTAAAGATCATGCCCAGTTCTGTCATGATACGTGTGAACACGTGTGAAGAGAGCCAGAGATTAATAACTTAACAATAACTAATGATTAAATGCAGAGAGGTGTATAAGCACATAGTGTGTGAAGAAGAAACACTCAGTGAATCATAGTGTAGCACCCAACCCATGTAGCTAGTATTCAAATTAGATCAAAGGGGTGTTGTAGCACTGAGTAGGGCCGTGGGTTCTTTAATTTAGTGGCTTGCCCTACTAACCTGTAATGCTGATGTACCAGATAACACTTCAGAAAGTGCAAACTGTCAGTAATGCCTGGGGTTGCTGTCGGTGAGGCAGCTCTCTATGCTCCTCCTGTAGGCCTCCTTGCCATGTTTGATGCCCCTGCTACGTTGGCTCATGCAGTGCTGTACAGGGAACTATCCCTGTTCTGATTAGAGCCTGTACTCCACTTGTCAACCAAGGTTTTCCGTTAGGAACAACCCAGATGGTTTTAGTCACTGTCACAGTCTCTACGAAGCACTTAATGTAGAAAAGGACTGACTGATGATAAGCCAATATTGGAGAATTCTGCTCTCCCTTTCTAGTCCCTGTCAGTACTCTTGCTGCATTTTGTATTAACTGAAGGCTTTTCATCAAACTTTTAGGACATCCTGATAATAACGAATTACAGTAGTTCATCCTAGAAGTAATAAATGCATGAACTAGTTTTTTCAGCGTCACTCTGACACAGGATATTTCTAATTTTAGAGATATTTCAGAAATGGAAGACACAAAACAAGACACAAGAAGACACAGGCTTACATATTTGTTTAATTAGTGCATTAAAGGACATATCCTGGTCAAAAATGATTCCAAGATTCAAATGTCCAGCTGGGATAACCACATTTACTCAGAGCCTTCTTGATATGTTCTTCTGCTTCCCTGGGCCCTGTGTCTGTAGGGATGCTGTTCACTCTGTGTTGTAGTGTCCTAATGACACCCAGTTTGTGCTCCAGTGGATAATGAGAGTCAAACCTTAAATACTGATCTGATTTACGGTATACATCGACTTTTAAATGTCCCCCATTATTGATGGAAATCTCACAGTCTAAGAAGGCTAACCTGCTACTTTTCATATTCTCCCCAGTGAATTTGATGTCTTGGTCCATTGAGTTAATGTGACCACTGAATCGTGGTATGTCCTGAGATTTAATTTTCACCCAGGTTTCAGCCACATACCTGAACTAATGACTTGGGGGTGTTCCAGGGTAGCATAACAGAGCCATCTTTTCCACTTCTTCCATGCACAAGTTGGCCACAATGGGTGAAACTGAGGAACCTCAGTTAGCACTGGAACCCTAGGTAGTACTGACCCTTGTATGTGAAATAGGTGGAATGAAGACAGTTCCAAAAGCAAACACACTTGGTCTATGCTGAAGAGTGGTCCTGTTGCTGAGGTTGGGGTCATCCTGTAATCTCTTACGAACTACCTTCAATGCTTCCGTGACTGGGATGCAAGTGAAGAGAGATGTAACATCGTACGAGACCATGGTTTCATCTGCCTCCATAATGACGTCTCTCACCTTCTCAACAAAATCTAAGGTGTTCTGGATGTGGTGTTCAGAGCTGCCTACCAACAGGTTGAGCATCAAAGCCAGAAACTTTGAGATGTTATAGGTGACCGAGTTGATCATACAGACAAGTGATCTTAAAGGTACACCCCTAGAAATAGCCTGTGGTATGCGGTCCGGTCAGTAGCGTTATCTTGTTCTACCTGCTCCAGAAAATCTATCACCCTGTTCCTGTAGTCACTTCCTGGGTCTTGTTTCTGGGCTCATGAGTATTTTTGTCACTGAACAAATTTTCTCATGATAGTCTATATGGTTTAGCAAAACTGTGCACCTACCCTTGTCTGGCAGAAGGATGATAATGTTGTCATTACTAACTGATGTAAGTGCCTTCCTCCTTCATGCTGATGTTGGATGCTGGGGGCTTTGCATTGCTGAGACATGCAGAAACTTTTGTCTGCAGCTGCTCTGCTTCTATGTCTGCAATGTTGTTGTTTCAAATTTCTCTTTCTGTGGCTGTGATCAGTTCAACTAGTGGGATTTGCTTCGAGAAGCTGGTCAGGGACTTCGTTTGCTCTTCACTACCCGACTCACTGGACCCTCTACAATTTGCATACTGCCACAACAGGTCCACTGATGACGCCATAGCCCTGACACTACACACTGCCCTGTCACACCTGGAGAAGAGAGACACGTATGTGAGAATGCTGTTTGTAGATTACAGCTCAGCATTCAACACCATCGTTCCCTCGAAGCTGGACAGGAAACTGCAGGATCTAGGACTGAGTAGCTCCCTCTGCAGCTGAATCCTTAGCTTCCTGTCTGACAGACGCCAAGTGGTCAGACTGGGCAGCATCACCTCATCCTAATGAACACTGGTGCTCCACAGGGGTGTGTACTGAGCCCTCTCCTGTACTCACTCTACATCGACTGCACGGCCACTAACAACTCCAACGTCATTGTGAAGTTTGTGGACGACACTACAGTGGTGGGTTTTATCACCAACGGTGATGAGACGGCCTACAGGGAGGAGGTCAGCGCCCTGACCTACTGGTGTTAAGACAACCATCTCACCCTCAACGTCGCAAAGACAAAGGAGCTGATAGTGGACTTCCAGAGGTGCAGAGAAGTACACACCCCCAGCACCATCAACGGCGCTGCTGTGGAGAGAGTGAGCAGCTTCCGGTTCCTTGGTGTACATCTAGCTGAGGATCTTACGTGGTCAGTACACACAAACAAAACAGTGAAGAAGGTGCAGCAGCGCCTCTTCTTTCTC